TCCACCTTTGGCTTCCTTCCAAGCCACTCCACATAGGGCACCCATTTGTCTGCTCCCACATGAGTCAAAACTCTGTTCTTGGCCACACACGCGCTCCGCACTGCATCAGGCCAGAAATAGTCGGGTAGCCCGGCTTCAATGAGCAACCCACGTGCCGCCTCCGTGATCGTCCGGTTCGCTCGCTCGGCGATGCCGTTCATTGCAGGGGAGTATGGCATGGTGAGGGAGTGCCGAATACCATTCTTCTTCAGCCACAACCCAAACTCCTTGCTCAGGAACTCTCCCCCTCGATCGGTGCGGATCGACTTCACTAGACGGTCTTGTTGCCTCTCCACCATCGGGAACCAATCCGTCTTCAACGTTTCAGCCACGTCACTCTTCTTGGCCAGCACGTACACCCAAGTCATGCGGGTGTAGACGTCCACAATGGTGAGGAAATACTCAGCTCCAGCAGCTCCAAGCTTCAGGGGGCCCACCACGTCCATCACCACCTCATCAAGTGGTGCCTTGGCCGTTGCCTCCGAACTAGAGAATGGGAAACGGATGAACTTGGCTTGCATGTACGTCGGGCAGCCAAGTACCTCATCGGGCTCCCCCTTCACACGTATGCCAGCAACCATCTGGTTCTTCACTAGCTGCTGCAAAATAGGCAGGGCCACATGCCCCATTTGTCGATGCAAAGTGAGCCAATCACACTCCCCCGTAGCCGAAGTCGGATTGGAGAATGCCGCGCTCGCAATAGCGCCCCACATCCTCTCTCCGTACTCCTCCTCCGCTGCTGCCTTGGGGTTCTCCTCACCCTTGTGCTGCTCATTGGCTGCTGCATCACTCTGCTTAGGTTCACTCTTCTTGCTGGTCCCTCCAAGATTCCACTTGTTGGACTCATTCCCCTTGACGCGACCGTTCGCGCCATCGCCGCTACCAACCGCTTCACCCTTGGTGCTGACGCTTGCTGCCACTTGCCTCTCCTTAGGCATAGGGACCACAGGGATCTGCCACATCTCGTTGTAGACATCCCTATTCTTGTGAAGGTCCCATAGAATCCGCTCGCCAAGCCTCGCGGTGTAGGTCTTGGCTCTCTTCGAGTTTGTGTCCATGCCGGCCTTTGCCAATTGCCGCACGGAAATCAGGTTCGCAGCAAGGCTGGGCACCCAAAGCACGTTCTTGAGGCCCACCATCTTCCCATCAGCACCCTTAAACATGGCCTTGCCCATGCTTTTCACCTCTGGTCGCTGCCCCAAGGCCGATGTGACATGCTTCACCGGTGAGCAAGTCGGGGCGAGGTGTCATGCTATAGGTAGCGCCGCTGTCAATCACCCAATAGTTCAGGGGGTGTAGGGTCACCTTCCCCACAGCTGCTGGCTCCTCAAGGTCTTCATCCTTCTCAGGACCAGCTGGTACTTGCGTCGACACAAAGTAGAATAGACCCGGGTACCGATCGTCGCTCGGGTCCTTGTCGTTGTCTCCACTCTTCATGTTTGCGGCTCCACCTCCGCGACCGCCATGGCCTCCACGGCCTCTTCCTCTCCCTCCTCCTGCTCCTCTACCCTCTTGGCCTTGAGCAGGGGTCCAACCTTCAGGGAGTTTGAAGCAATCGCGCCACATGTGTCCGGTCTTATGACAATAATGGCACTCGCCATCGAATCGGCCGCGACCGCGCCCGTAGCTCTTGTCGTCGCTGCCGTAACCGCCACTCCCGCGGCCTCCACCAAAGTTGCTGCCACCAAACCTTCCTCCCCCTCGTCCTCTGCCTCTTCCTCGGCCATATCCACGGCCGACGCTTGCTGCCCCAGCGCCATCCGCACTCGCCAACTCACGGCGGCGGAAATCCTCTTGAAGGATAGCTCGCTTCACGTCTTCAAGCGAGAGGCGGGGCAAGTCGCGATTAAGGTTGATGATGAGCGAGGACCATGACTCTGGGAGTAAGGCCAGCAACTTGGTCTTCTTTTGGAGCTCACTGTAGTTCAAATCAGCTCCCTCAAGCCGCGTCAACAAGTCGAAGAATTTCTGCACCCCTTCTTCAACCGCTTCGTCTTCTTCAATTCGTAGTGCCGCCATTTGCCGTTCCAACACCACCGCTACCGCCGCTGTTGCAGGAGCATGTACACCCTTGAGAGCAGCCCATGCCTTTGGTCCTTTCTCTGGTTCACGCTGGAATGTCTTGATGTGACGGATCTGGCTGCTCCCCAACGCTTGCCCAAGTAAGAGATAGCTTTGTGCGCTCTTCCGCACCCACGGGCTCTTCTCCGGGTCGTTCTCGGGGCGCTTCTCCGTTCCTTCCATCACCTCCAGCAGGTCATAGTGGTCAAAGATGTTCTCCATCTTGAAGGACCATTCAGCAAAGTTGTCACCGTTGAACTTGTCAAGCCCAAACACCCTAGGCTCATCCCTAGGTGGGCCAAGACTTGGTTGCATGGGCGCCATGGCTGAATCACGGGGTTGGCCTTGAGCTTGAGCTTCTCCACTGCCACCAGCACCTCTGCCACCCCTTTCCTCAGGTCCAGACATTGTCGAAACTGCTCCAAGGGGCTCTGATACCACTTGTTATAAGCACAATAGGCTCCAATGTGCCTAAAACGAGAGATAGAGTGCACAGTCGGATTTCTGCACAGCGGCTTTAAACGTTCATAGCGATCTGCTCACAACTCCAAATGACTTCATTCAACTTGGATCTGGAGCGCCTTAACGTCGCCTACAATAGGCAATTGAGATCGCACGATTTCATTACGAACGGCACAGCGTCGGTTTGAACGAACGGCACTATGGCAGCCACTATAGTCTTAGAACACAAATTTGGAAGAGTTGGCAAGAGTTACGAGTTGGGAATGACTCCCAGCTCCTACAAACCCCAAGAGCCGAGGTACAGTGATGTGGAACAGTGCCACACTGTCTCCAACCATGAAGGGTCTCGAAACTGCCCTTCACTAGGGTCTACACCAACTGAAATGTTACACTACACATTGTAATGTAACGAATCTTGATATCTTGAGGTGTACCCTTTTGGCGAGCTTCGGAATCACTTGACCCCTGCTTCTCTCACGCCACTCTCACTCTCCCTCCCAGCTGCCCCAAGCACTTACACCTCGCACTCACTTCAAGTCCCCTGTCATCTGTCGGTGCATTGCCCAGCCCTGGTAGGCCTTGGGGTTCCTGCGCTGGAGCAAAGGGGGAGGAGCAGAGAGGAGAGGCCTTGTGGTTTAACCTTGGGGTGCCTGTAGCCGCACTGCCTTACTTTTCAAGTCCCCTGTCATCTGTCGGTGCATTGCCCAACCCTGGTAGGCCTTGGGGTTCCTGCGCTGGAGCAAAGCGAGAGGAGCAGAGAGGGGAGAAGCGGCCTTGGGGTTTACCCTTGGGGTGCCTGTAGCCGCATTGGCTTACTCACTTCAAATCCCGTCATCTGTCGGTGCATTGCCCAACCCTGGTAGGCCTTGGGGTTCCTGCGCTGGAGCCAAGTGGGGGAGGGGTGGGGAGAGGACGAGAAGGAGAGGAGACGTGTGATGAAGACAGCAGAGGGCGGGGATCAGGGAGAGAAGGAGAGGAGACTGGTGGTATAGCAACATTGGTGGGGGCGAAGAGGAGTAAACAAGAGGACTTAGTGCCCGAGGCAGCCCGGGGCAGCATGGTGTATCCGGGAAAGAGATTCCTCGGATCCTTCTTGTATCCCAAGTGGTATAGCAACATTGGTGGGGGGGGCGAAGAGGAGTAAACAAGAAAGAGGCCTTAGTGCCCGAGCGCACATGGCCTGTGCTGGTGGGGTTCCTGGGCTGCTTTTTGAGTCGACTCAAAAATCAACTGTGCTGGTGGGGTTCCTGGGCTGCTTTTTGAGTCGACTCAAAAATCAACTGTGCTGGTGGGGTTCCTGGGCTGCTTTTTGAGTCGACTCAAAAATCAACTGTGCTGGTGGGGTTCCTGGGCTGCTTTTTGAGTCGACTCAAAAATCAACTGTGCTGGTGGGGTTCCTGGGCTGCTTTTTGAGTCGACTCAAAAATCAACTGTGCTGGTGGGGTTCCTGGGCTGCTTTTTGAGTCGACTCAAAAATCAACTGTGCTGGTGGGGTTCCTGGGCTGCAGCAAAAAGGGAGAGGGGTGAGAAGGGAGCGAGGAGGGGAGGAGATGTGTGGTGAAGACGGGAGAGGGTGGGGGTCAGGGAGAGGAGGAGGAGAGACTCCATCTAGGGACCAACAGCGTGGGTTCCTATTGAGGCGGAACCAAAAGCACAGTGATCCCCGCCGTTGCAGGGACTTTTTGAGAATTCTCAAAAAATCCCTTCCGACCAACAGCGTGGGTTCCTATTGAGGCGGAACCAAAAGCACCAAAAGCACCAAAAGCACCAAAAGCACCAAAAGCACAGTGCTCTTCCCCGCCTCACTCGCCGGGGGTCCGCCTCAACAGCCAATCGGAACGCTCGCTCAGCCTTGTCAGCATCCAGCAGCCAATGGTAAAACATCGGAACATGACAAATAAAGCCCCTCCCATCCCATCCCGCCGCAGAGCATTGCCCAGTCACTGTGCTTTTGGTGTCACTGTGCTTCTGGTGTCACTGTGCTTTTGGTGTCACTGTGCTTTTGGTCACTGTGCTTTTGGTGTCACTGTGCTTTTGGTCACTGTGCTTTTGGTGTCACTGTGCTTTTGGTCACTGTGCTTTTGGTGTCACTGTGCTTTTGGTCACTGTGCTTTTGGTGTCACTGTGCTTTTGGTCACTGTGCTTTTGGTGTCACTGTGCTTTTGGTCACTGTGCTTTTGGTGTCACTGTGCTTTTGGTCACTGTGCTTTTGGTGTCACTGTGCTTTTGGTCACTGTGCTCTTCCCAGGCCCAGTTGTGTGGTGTGGATATCTCTCATCTCACTGTGGTGTGGCGCTAATCCCGTGCTGCTCTTTCCGATCTGACTGAACCTGTTCCTGCTACTACTCCCTATTCTTTATCAACTCAAAAATAGACTACTACTCCCGACGTGACTTTTGAGTCTACTCAAAAATAGACTACTCCCCCCTCTCAGTCACTCACCGGGGGTCCGCCTCAACAGCCAATCGGAACGCCCTCTCAGCCTTGTCCGCATCCGGCAGCCAATGGTAAGACAGCCCCACCATCCCCCACGCCGCTGACGCCGTCACCCACTCCGCTGAGCTGGCGGCTGCTGATGAGTCTTCTGCTGACGTGGCTGCTGCTGACGTGGCAGGACTCGTGAGGTTCTGGGATGAGAGGAGGGGGGCGGCGCGTTCGTTGGCTTCCACTGCCTCCTGCACCCTGCCTGCTGCATGCAGGGCCTGGCCCTGGGAGAGGGAGTGAGGGGAAGGAGTGGGCAAGGATGGGAAGGAGTTGAATGGGCGGGCGGGGAAGTGATCGGTGCCCCCCTGTGCACCCTGCCTGCTGCATGCAGGGCCTGGCCCTGGGAGAGGGAGTGAGGGGGAGGGGCAGGCAAGGATGGGGGATGGAAAAGGATGGGATGAGAGGAGGGCGACAGCCCGTTCGTTAGCTTCCACTGCTTCCTGCACCCTGCCTGCTGCATGCAGGGCCTGGCCGTGGGAGAGGCACCAAGGGGGGGAGGGACAGGCAAGGTGCTTGGTGCCCCCCTCCCCTGTGCACCCTGCTTCCTGCAACCCGCCTGCTGCATGCAGGGCCTGACCCTGGGAGAGGGAGCGAGGGGAAGGAATAGTATGGGAGGGATTTCATTGGGCATAGGCAGATATTAATGCATAAGCAATTGGTGATCCTTAAGCCTTTGTAGCCTGGTTCTTTGGAGTCTCAATAAATGTCTTTCGAGAATTCGAGACCACCCTGCGTCATGCCTGCCGCGCAAAGGCCCCTGTGGCCCTAGGAGAGGGAGAAATCGGAGGGATGGAGGTGACTTTTGAGTCGACTCGACTTTTGAATCGACTCGACTTTTGAGTCGACTCGACTTTTGAGTCGACTCAAAAGTCACCCCTGTGGCCCTAGGAGAGGATCGGCAAGCACGAAAAGGGGTTGCTGAATCTATGAGTGGTGGGAGCACGTGGGGGCAGGGAGAAGCGCAGGAGCGGCAGCATACCAGGGAGAGCAGTGCCCGTGGCAGGTCAAATTGACTTTTGAGTCAACTCAAAAGTCAACTCGGCAAGGAGAGCAGCACAGGAACGGCAGCATACCAAGGAGAGCAGTGCACGTGGCAGGTCGGAGGGGTGGGTGGTAGGCTGGTAGGGTAGCTTCCCTGACTGGCCTCACCTCACGGCTGTTAGGCCTTGAGTGGTGAGTGGTGGGCGCGCATAGCGGGAGGGATGGACGCGCAGCACAGGAGCAGCAGCGTACCAGGGAGAGCAGCTCCCGTGGCAGGTCGGAGGGGTGGTAGTCGCCCGGACTGCTCCCACTTCTCCCACTGCTGTAAGGGTTGGAGGTAGAAGCAGAGGCTGCCAGGAGGGCCACGGCTCGCTGCCGGTCCGCTATGGCTTCTGCTTACCAGTGAGAGCAGTGCCCGTGGCAGGTCGGAGGGATGGTAGCCTCCCGGACTGCTCCCACTGCTCCCACTGCTCCCACTGCTCCCGTTGCTCCCACTGCTGTGAGGGCTGGAGGGAGCAGCAGAGGCTGCCAGGAGGGCCACGGCTCGCTGCCGGTCCGCTATGGCTTCTGGGAAGCGGTGGATGCTGTACCACGCCTTGCCTGGGGGGTGGGGTAGTGTGACAACAACGAGGGTTGGTCAGCTCGGAACCCAAGAGGGTAACGCATTGGCGGTCGGATATGGCTTCTGGGAAGCGGTGGATGCTGTACCACGCCTTGCCTGGGAGGGGGGAGGGAGGGAGGAGGGAAAAGGGTAGCGTGCCAATATCGAGGGTTGGTTGATTTGTGAGTCGACTCGAAATTTAAGAGGGCAACGGCACGTTGGCTGTTGGTTGGATGCCCAACCACGCCCTTCCTGGCAGGGCAGCGTGACAATAACGAGGGTTGGGGGAGCGATGGAAAGAGCGATGGAAAGAGGGATGGCAAGAGCGATGGAAAGAGGGATGGTGGTGGATGCAGCAGCACCTTGTGTGCGATGAAAATACCGAGGGCCTGCGGTGCATCCAATCCAAATAAGCAGGATGGAGTGGAAATTGAAGCACGCAGGCAGAGCAGCGGGGTGACTGAGTCGACGTGACTTTTGAGTCGACGTGACTTTTGAGTCGACGTGACTTTTGAGTCGACGTGACTTTTGAGTCGACGTGACTTTTGAGTCGACGTGACTTTTGAGTCGACTCAAAAGTCACCTTGCATCCAATCCAAATAAGCAGTATGGAGTGGAAACCGAAGCACGCAGGCAGAGCGAGCAGCGGGCCCAACGAGGTTCACCCAAGGATAGGAGAGCCTCACCTCGTTCCAGCAGCAGGTGAGCATTCCCTGGATCGCCTTCCAGGAGAGCCGTCAGGTTGGCAATCTCCTGAACAGGTGAGTTCAGGTGAAACAACGGAGCACACAAACAGTAAGGGTTCGCAGCAGAAAATGATTCGTTAACCCCCCTTGGCCTTTCTCAGCGGAGTGTACTTCTGCCGACTTCTGCCATTAGCAAACGCATGTGTGGTGCCACCACCAATCTCGAGTGGTGGCAACACGCGCAGCACCAGGAGAGCGGGAAACTAGGTGCCGTGCCGCATCCACCCATCTCACCTGCGTCTTTCTGCCCTGCAACACCACGTTTGCATTCTCCAGAGGAGGTGGGGCGATGAAGGGCAAGAAGAAGGGCAGCGTGGGGAGAGCTACAGCGTGCAGGGCAGGCAGACGCCAAGATAATGGGCACTCACTCCAGAGGCAGGGGCGGGTGGTGCGGCGGGTGATGGGCGGGGTTGGCTGGCTTTCTCTCTCCCTCACCTGCATCACTCTGCGGAGCATCGCCACTTCTGCTTTCTCCATAGGCGGGGCGATGAAGGGCAGCGGGGGGGGAGACATGGCGTGCAGGGGTGTGCATTCAAACAGCACAGGATGAGAGGGGACAGACAGAGAGGCTGTGACCGTGTGTGTGCTGTGGTGCATTTTCTCTCTCAAACGGTCCTTTGTATTAATTCAGCAGGGGTACAAACATGCGGTGCTATCCATGATAACCTCCATCCCTTAAGCCCCAAAACTCACCACTCTTCTCCCCCCCCTGAGTGACCCTCTAGCCCTCCAGCGTGTGGAGGATGTCCCCCAGGTGCAGCGGCCAGGGGTCCGCTGCCATCTGGGGGTGCGCTGCCTCGATCCCAGCCCTGGCCTTGGTGTGCAGGGCATTCGCCTGGGAGCGCTGGAGGGCCACTGACCAGCGCTGGCTGAAGTGGCAGGCCATCTTCTTGGCCGATTTCGCCAAGGGGTTGGCCCTGAACCGGTTCCTAGCTGCTGCTGTGGCCAGCAGCTTCAGGAACGCAGTCGTGGTGGGCGCGTTTGCCCCGTAGGTCTCGACGGCTAGGGCGCAGAACACCACGTGTTCCGTGTGTCGGTAGTACTCCCTCTCCTTCCGCCTCTGTGCCTCTCTAGCAGCCCAGCCTGGGGGTTTGCGGGCTGTGGGGTCCCGGTTCTGCAGCACGGGGTCTGTGATAGTGGTGTCTGTGATCCAAGTCTCTCCACTGTCCGGGTCGCGTACAATCACATCGGCTTTCTTCGGGTCATCCGGCGGTGAGTACATGGCGTTCTCCAGGTATACCACCAGCTCTGCTTCCCTTGCCATTTTAGCCACGGCAAAAGCTAGCTGGTTGTGTGTGCGTGTCCTGTCGGGGCCTGTGCTGCAGCGGAGTAGGTGGTTGGGTAGGCTGCAGTCGGCTACGAGTTCTCCACACTCGCACACAGTGGGTACATTCTGTCGGATGCCCATGCGGAAGGCCAGGGCTGCTCGGAATTGTCCCGGTGAGAAGCAAAGGTCCGGGGTCAAAGGTAGGGCCTGCAGCCATGCTCCCGCTCCCTCCCCTCTCAGGCTGATGAGGCGGAGTGAGTGACCCATCTCGGGGGCTGACTGGATGGTGCGTGACTCCTCTGTCAAGGCGTCGGCCTTTGCCGCGTGCACCTCCTGAGAGAGGGCGCGTTGCAGCTGGTCTTGGGACGGGGTTTGCTGCTCCTCCCGGAGGTTTTGTAGCGCCAGCGGTGGCAGGCGCCCCTCCATGTCCTGGATGGTTACCGAGTGCGCTGCGGACGGCTGCAGGGTGTTGTTGTTGGCCCCCAGTGCCGCGGTTGCTGGTAGGTCAAGGGAGCGGAGCAGTCGTAGCGCCTCCGTCGTTGATGCCAGGTAGGCCGGTGCTGCTTCTGTTGTGGGGTCTGTAAGTCCCAGCCCGCCCAGGGCGACTGGAAGAGTTGCTTGTCGGAGCAGGAAGTTGAACTCGGCTTCTCGGCGTGGCGGTTGAATGCTGGCGGCGGTCAAGGCCGTGTGCAGTAGTTCGGAGCACCATGTGTGCCATTCCGAGAGGGGTAAGACGTCTGCTGGGGTAGTGCGTAGCAGGTAGCCGATTCTGCGGCTGATGCAACGGGACAGTAGCAGGAGGGCATGTTGTGGGTGGATGGACGCCAGAGAACCCAAGGGGGCTGCCGCGTCTGTCAGGGTACTGCGGACAAAGGCAGAGCAGAAGCTCTGCGACCCCACAGGACTTCCCAACACCCGTACCCCCTCGTGGGTGTGGGGGAGGCCTTCAGGGAGCACGACACCTCCAAGCGGCATGGAGGACCACGCCGACGACTTCATAAAGTTGCAGGTGAGGCCATCCTGTGCTAGTAGCGGCGTGAGCTCCCTTAGCGCGTCTAGCGTCGCCGTCGCGGGTCCAATCATGGTTATGTCGTCTGCGTACGCGAGGACGGTGACTTCCGGGTGCTCCGCTGCCACGTGCCTGAGGTGCTGCTGGATAGACGCCGCGAATAGCAGGGGTCCGAGGGGATCCCCCTGTGTGACTCCTCTTCCGCTGGTGAGTGCCGTGGAATTGAAGCATGGGTCCAGCAGCAGTGGTGATGGTGATGCGTAGAAAGAGCGTGTGAAGGGGATGAGGGGGGCTAGCGGGTAGCCGATAAGTGCGTTGAAGAACGCGCTCCTCTCGACTGAGTTGAACGCGTTCTCAATGTCGAGTTGGAGGACTAGGCTGGAGGGCTGCACGGTGGTGAGGTCTCTGACTGCATGGATGACGAACTCAGCACCTCCCGGGACTGCCACGCCAAATTGCTGAGGTAGGAAAAAATTTCGCGTTTCTCCTTGCAGGTCTGAGAGTGCCACTTTCGCCGCCAGCCTAAGCAATGTTTCTCCAATCGCGATTGGGCGTACCCCCCCCCCTGGTTTGGCGAAGGCTATAAGGCGGGACGGGGCGAGTAGGGCTGCAACCTCGGTGGAAAGGTTTGTCGAGAGAAGGTGTTTAACGGCGGAGTGGAGGTGCCCTAGTACCTCGATGTTACTTAGCGCTGGATCGCGGTAGTGTTCGAAGGTTGACCCCGATGGGCCAGCCCCAATTCCCCTGGGGCATTCCCCGAGGACGTCCGAAAAGCTTTCCAGGGTGGTTGAAAATTGTGTGGGTGTCGTGTAGGAGTGGACCCAGTCGGGCAGGCCATTTTGGGGTTGGGGGTGTTTCGATTCCAGCTGCTGCAATGTCGCGAATGTCGCCGGTGCTGATGGCGAGGGTTGAAGGGCCGCTAACGCCTTTCGCAGGTTACCCCTTTTCACCAACCCCTCCGCACGTGAGCAGATTCCCAGCGGGTCACGTTGGTGCTGAGGTGGTTCGGCCAGGTGCATTGACCCCAAGTATTCGGTGTACAGCTGGGTCCAGTGTCCACATTGGAATAGATGCATCTGTGCCCGCAGCAGTTTCCACCTAGAGCTGGATCTCCGGCTAAGTCTTAGCGTGAGACGTGGCAGGAACATGAGGACCCGCCACGCTCCCGCGCAATTAGGCAGCTTTGAGATCCGTAGTAAGGCAGCCAGCATACAGGTGGAGTAGTCGCTGAGGATCTGCGGCGGCAGTCGGCGGACGATTGGTTGGTGGGTGATGGATGTTAGGAGCGTAAGGTCCCAGGTCATCGCGATCTGGAAAAGATCCTCCCGTGAGGCCAGCTGGGACGCAGATAGGGCTTGGTCCGGTGGGGGCTGGGCTCTGCGCTGCTGTCTGCGGTTGGTTCCTCTCTCCTGTTGCTGCGCCACCTCCTCTCCTGATTCCGCGCGAGGTGAGTCGGGATTGTCTGGTTGCCTCAGATCTGACGGTATATAGTCCTCGTCTCTCGCCTCTCTGATGATATTTTCTCTCTCTCTCTCTCTCTCTCTCTCTCTCTCTCTCTCTCTCTCTCTCTCTCTCTCTCTCTCTCTCTCTCTCTCTCACCTGCATCACTCTGTGGTGCACCGCCACTTCTGCGTTCTCCAGTGGCGGAGGCGGCGCGATGAAGGTCGAGAAGAAGGGCAGCGAGGGAAGGGACGCGGCGTGCAGGCAGAGAGCCAAGGCGGAAGGGCTCTCCAGAGGGCGAGGCGGGAGGTGGGGCGGTTGGTAGGTAGAGGCTGCAAGCGTGGATGGGAATCCCATGGGGAAGAGATGCGTGCCTGGGATGGGGATGGGGAGCGGCCGGGAGAGGGAGGGGGGTAGAGAAAGGAGTTGGAAATTAATGAGTGCGGGGAGAGCAGCGGCGTGCAGGCAGAGAGCCAAGGCGGAAGGGCGCTCCATAGGGCGAGGCGGGAGGTGCTGGGGAGAGGCGGCAGGAGAGACAGCGGATCCGATGGGGAAGAGGTGAGTGCCTGGGATGGGGATGGGGATGGGGATGGGGATGGGGATGGGGAGAGAGGGGGAGAAGGAGTTGGAGTGGGAGAAAGAGAAGGAGTGGGTGGAGAGAGGAGGATTGTGCTGCTTCTGAGTGGAGTGGATGGAATGAGTAGTGTGTATGGAGAGGAAGACAGGGAAGAGGTGGAGAGGGAGGGAGGGATGGGTGTTGGCAGGGTGAAAGAGTTGTTACACTACTCCAACTGGAGGGAGGGCATGACGTGGCACAAGTGCTGTGGTGGGGATTCATTTCATCACGTAGCAACGCCTCTGGCTCACCATGCCGCAGGAGGAGAAGCTCAGGACACGTGGCATCACTGCGTGTGTCCACGTCAGTAGGCTCGTCTCCCTGCACTGTCTCCTCTCCACCTGCAACGCGTCTTCCCTCCCCTCCACCCTCTCCATCCCCCCCTGCGCCGTCCTCCCATCCTCCATCGGCCACGTCAGCAGCACCCTCATCCTCGTCAGCCCTCCGTTCAAACTCTCCCTTCACCCCACCATCCTTATCCTCGTTATTGAGTCGCAAGAGGGGATCAGGAATCCGGTAACAGAAGTCATCGTTGCTGGTAACGGACCAGGGAGCGAAGAAGAGGAGAATAACGGGGATTTGAAAGATTGTGGCCGAAATCGGAATTAAAAGGATCAGAAGGGAGCAGTGAAGGCCAAATGTGGGCCTAACGGCTCATGAAAATGAATCTGCTTATAATGGGACGCTACTCAAGGGGATATCAACAAACGAACCAGAGAATGCTCGTGTCATCGAGGCCGTCCTTCACTTGAGTCACGATCACGGCCATGGTTCGCAACCACTCGTTAGAGTCACACCCTCGCTGTACGACCAGAGGCCCAGAAAAGAGGTCATTATTGCGGATATCATCATCGGATGGGAGTGTATCGGGAGAATATATCTCAGCTTGCGGGGATTCTAGAATGGTGCAGCTGAGCAGCGAGAGTGCAATGCAAACGAATGCTGCCGCCATGGATTATCGTGCGAGTTACAAATGCACGAGGTCAAGTAGGGCGAGATCAGCATGTTAGTCCATCACATTCGTACAGTTCATCCGTCATGGCGCAAAACGTTCCACACGTTGCACAGCTGTTATCAATTTTTACATCTTTCGCACCATAGGGCGCCTTCGCCCTCTTTAGGTTCAGTTTCGTTAGAAAAGTGACACAAACAAGGCAGAAATTTAGGTTGCTTATAACAAGCGAAACATCCCCGAGCAAGTTTATGCTCTGCAAGCGCGTAATGAATAAAACATGCCCCACTAGAATCTACGAGGCTACGTCGCATGTGCTTGCAAAGCGAGGTCCACCGAAGGCGGGCAAACGTAGAATTAGGGCGTGTAAAATTGTTACGACCAAACGCTATGGTCGATTATTTGGGCGTTTCTGGCGAGTGCGAAATATGTAACACTTTAGCATTTGGAGCACCCACCCCAAACCACCCTCTTAAATAAAAAGGAAATGTTTCGATTCCCTTACTACATTCGAAAGGGGTGTGGAATACGGGGGATCTGAAGCCTAGACTAGAGTGTTTACCAAAGAAGTGGGTTTAGGTAAACGGAAAAAACATATACCCCCGCTGAGCATCAGTTAAATCATGTCCCAAATAGCGGTGCGAAAACTTCTGTGCCAAACTTACCACTGAAAATGAGTCAGACCGGGGTGACTACTCGCATCAGCGTAACCCTAATTCCTCGCAATCGCCAGAAACGCCCAAATAATCGACCATAGCGTTTGGTCGTAACAATTTTACACACCCTTAGGCGCTTGCGGTGGCAACCTGTTTTGCTTGTAGGTTGCTTGCGAAATAGCTATTTCGCAGGGCGTGCAGCGGAGAGCTTGCGAAGCAAGCGTGGCCTCCGGGTGAGCAAAAAAAAGCAAAGCTTGCGAAGAAAGCACTTTGGGGAAGTCATCGCGTAGCAAAAATAAAAAGTCTTTCATAATTAAGCATCTGTAAAATGGCATCCGTTGTAGTCTAGTCGGTTAGGATACTCGGCTCTCACCTGAGAGACCCGGATTCAAGTCCCGGCAACGGAAGCTTTTCCTCCACACATGATGTTTTTCTTTCGCTTACGAATCCCCAAATCCCAGAGAAGATGAAACGACGACACGCCAAACAAATCTCCCCAGGTTCGCTTGTGATTCTCAAATTCCTTCCACATCAGCTTGAGTAGGTTCGAGAATGCACTCCGTACCTCACAATAGACTCTCCACGCTAACTTGTCTTTGCCTCTTCTGTGAGTACGGGTCGTGCTCCGTGTGAGTAAGCGTGCAAAGCAAGCGACGGTTCTCGTCATCTCTTGGCTCATCCTCCTAAGGTCCCCTCGCTCCTTTCTCCTCGTCCTCCGTCGGACCGAACGGCGTAGCCTTCGTGTATCACCCTCCGAGCCTCTCCTTTTCCGCCAATGCGCATGATTTTGCTTCGTCGGTTCGCACGCATTAGCCAGTCGGCCACGCGAACATCCTTAAATTTGTTTCGCATATGTTGGACAAATCTACCTGGTTCAGTTGCAAGGCCGGCATACCTAGACAAAGTCGTTTCTTGATGACCTGCTGCGGAGCTGAGCTGAGGGTCCTCCAGTGGGATGATTCGAAAGTAGTAAATTCCACGCTAACACAACCAGGGAGTATAACCATTGAAGCTCCCGGCCCCAGGAATTTCACGGTCCCAGATCAGATCTTCTCCAGCAGCGCCGCAAATTTCCAGGTCTCAGAATCTGAATCTCTTTTTCAGATTTCCATTCACAGCCTCAGGGTTCGGCTTTACAGGGTCGGAGTTCCCAGAGTTGGATTTTCAGGTTCGGACTTACTTCGGATTTCCAGAATTTCCGTTTTAGTCCAGGCTTGGTCTTCTCGGGCTCGGATTGGTCAGCCAGTATGGGACTGCGAAGACGGCTTGGGTACCTGCTTGAAAAGAGTCTGGCGTACCACCGAGTGGTCTATATCGTGAGTGCTGCAACTTTTTAGGCGCCTCAAAAGTGAGTGCTGCGTGTCATGGATGCATTTGTGTGCCGTACCGTTGTAACGAGGTGACTTTTGAGTGACTCGACTCAAAACTCACCTCGGCTCTGGTAACTGCTTGAAAAGGGCGCAGTGCACCACCGAGTTTTGATTTTAGGGTTGATTCGAAAGGGATGATTCGAAAGTAGTAAATCAAAATTCGACGCTTAGGGTCTACATGGTGAGCGCTGCATGGCACGCAGAGATGGTGAGTGCTGCATGGCACGCAGAGATGGTGAGTGCTGCATGGCACGCAGAGATGGTGAGTGCTGCATGGCACGCAGAGATGGTGAGTGCTGCATGGCACGCAGAGATGGTGAGTGCTGCATGGCACGCAGAGATGGTGAGTGCTGCATGGCACGCAGAGATGGTGAGTGCTGCATGGCACGCAGAGATGGTGAGTGCTGCATGGCACGCATGCAGTTTCACGAACTTACAGGCACTTAGCATCCGCGGGAATTCACAACCACATAAAGCATCTACACTGGATGTGTAGGTTGCTCGTTATCGTTCAATTCCCTCCTCCTCTCCATTCCTCCGTGCGCCCCTCCCTCCCTCCCTCCTTCCCTCCCTCCCTCCCTCCCTCCCTCCCTCCCTCCCTCCCTCCCTCCCTCCCTCCCTCCCTCCCTCCCTCCCTCCCTCCCTCGTCTCTCACGCCCTTACAGAATCACTTACAGAAGCACAGAGCACAGCCTTCCTTCTTCCAACTCACCAAAGGGGTTCTTAAGATTCTGATGAGCCGTGGACACTACTTAAGCTCGCTCCGACAGACTGCGGCTGGAGACGAATCCATGAAGCCGATTATAAAGGGGACAGAGGGCGAGTGGGTGCTGAGCCGATACCTGCTACCCCCTGGCTTGCAGTGAGTATCGTCACAAGGTTGCAATGCAGCAATTGCATAGTTATTTAGAAACAAAACAAGCAAACAGATTTGAAGGTTGCGGCAAGTGCTGTCGCACATGAGAATCTGCCACTGCTGTCACTCCCGAGAATCTGCCACTGCTGTCACTCCCGAGAATCTGCCACTGCTGTCACTCCCGAGAATCTGCCACTGCTGTCACTCCTGAGAATTGCCTATGTTGGGACAATCAATGCCTGCTCCCAACAATCTCTCCCATGTCTGCCTTTCCCTCTAACCATGCAGTGACATCTCTGTTGGTGAAGTTGTTGTGATTGAGACGTCTCCTAACGGCACGGCTTCTCCCCTGCTCTCCTTCCACACTTCTATCAATTCAAGCAATGCCTTCTTACAACCATCTCTCCTATCTCTGCCTTTGCCTCTGCCTTTGCCTCTGCCTCTGCCTCTGCCTCTGCCTCTGCGTTTGTCTCTGCCTCTGCCCGTGCAGCGAGATTTCTGTTGGTGACGTCGTTGTCATGAGATATGATCCCGCAAAAATTGTCTCTTCCACCAATTCAGCCCATCCAAATTTGGCCCCTGATGCAACGGCCAACGTCGGGACAGCAATGGGAGTAACAGCCACTGAAGAAAAAAAATCAGGGGACGTTTCCCAGTTGGTAACCGCCGCTTCTTTCAAAACCAACAATCCCAAAAAGCTCATGAAAAGGAAGAAATTGGCCCAGACACAAGCTGCTACCAGTACAGTCACTCGCAGAACCGATGCTGCCACCGGTGCAGCTTATGCCTCCTCTTCCTCCTCCTCTCCCTCCTCCTCTCCCGCATCCTCTCCCTCATCCTCCTCCTCATCTTTAGCTTTCTCGTCCTCGTCTTCTTCCTCATCCTCAGCTTCCCAGGCCGACACATCACAGAACCCTCTTAAGGCTGCTTTTCGGCGAGTCGCAGCCGTTGCTGGAGATGAGATCGTGTCATCTCGGCCGTCGGATGAGCCGTTTCGGATAGAGAAGGATCATTTTTGGCTGCTTGCTGATAACTTGGCTGTTCCTGCAAAGGTATGTTCGTAAGTGTATTGGCAATGAGTGAAGAAGCTAGCACTAGACCTATAGTGAGACACGCAGTGAGGCATGCAGTGATGCATGCAGTGATGCATGCAAAACGGCATGGGTATGCCATGCAGACTGGCATGCACATGCCATGCATGCACTCCTGCACACACCCATCCATGTGCATACAGTGCACACTTGTTACACCACAGGTCCCGTATTATTGACCCTCACACCCTTCCCCCCTCCTATCAAACTGTTTCATTCGTCCATGTGTTCTCACTGCTTCCACGCTTCGTCTTCCACTGACTGAGATGTCGACAACTGCGCCTATGGCCCATGTAGCCCAATCCTTATTCACCTAGACGGCTGTGCCAAAAATCATTGTTTCATCTCTGATTCTCATTCCAGCTTCATCTTCTCTCAACCCTCCTTTCAGAGAGCTGTCGACAGCTGCACCATTCGCCCTGTGCAGGTAGAATGAAATATCTCTCCTTGCAGAAGCCAACAGCCGATTCTCATTGCACCCTTATCTCTTCTTCCTCCACCTCCATCTCTCCCCATGCCACCTTCCAGGAAGCTATTGACAGCCGCACCATTGGTCCTGTGCACAAGAGCTACATTTTGGAAAGAGCGCTGTATGTGGTGCGATCAGAGGATGACCATGGGCCGATTCAAAACAGGTGTGGCTTCTCTCGTGTGAAGAATTCTTTTGCTGTGAACACACAGCATGCCTTGCACAGAGGGCACTGCATATGGTGCGATCAGAGGATGAGCATGGGCCCATCCGAAGCAGGTGAGATGCCTGTGACCTGTCATCCGAAGCAAGCTTATCATCAGTCGAACCATCGGGCCTGTGCATAATAGCTACATATTGGAGAGGGTTCTATGTGTGGTGCAATCAGAGGATGATCACGAGCCCATCCGAAGCAAGCAGGTGAGATTGTTTCATATGGTTGGCCCTGTGCATAAGAACTACATCTTGGAGAGGGCTCTGTGGGTGGTGTGATCAGAAGGGGATCACGAGCCCATCCGCAGCAGGTGATATATTTTCATGTGAAGCAGTATTTTGCTGTGAGCACGAGAATTGGCTCTGCTCTGCTGGATTGTGCATTTTTACGGTACCTTTTTGGTGCACTTTTTTTTCCTGGATATCCGTACTACCTGTTTATAATCCTTAATATTTTGTTTCCTGTGCCTTCTCTGTCGCAGTTTTCGGGCCCGGGTGCAAGATACAGGAGTGATGGATGTGGAATGCAAGAATGTAGATGATATTTTGAAAAGAATTTCGGAGGTCATTAGATCTCACAAAAGTTGACTTCCTCGTAATTAGATAATGGCTTCCCTTCAAAGAAAACTTGGTTTACTAGCGTTGTATTCATTAGCGTTGTATTCTTGCTAGCATTGAGCTTGTATTTCCGTTTGAATACCTGATTTGGTTTTAGCATACATAGGTTGGCTTTCAAAGATGTGGTATGGTTTACGTTTGTGAAACAAGCAGTCTAATAACGAAGATCTAGTGAATTCTTCTTACCATTCATTTTCCTTGTTCACCATTTTGCATTCCTTGTCCGCCGTTTCGGAAACCTGAGGTTTGCATGTCTCTCAACACAAATGCTAGTTGGAATCACTGAAGGAATTGCCAACTCGCGAAGGTAACGATAAGTTAGTTGCTTCTACCGGTATAAGGGCGCATTCCTAAGTTTGGACATCATCAGAAGTTTTCCCACACGGTTCGCAAATGTTGACGTGGCATTATCTGACATTTCAATGTTCCCCCACGCGGTTCGAAGTCTGGACACGTTGCGTTCACCCGACGACGGGTTCAACGACAGCATCGCCCGTCAGTGTGCGACCTCAGCGATCCTTCCATTAGCGGTTGGCTTCTACCACTGCCGACAAACGTTTTGTTAATGACTGCCCGCAAACTAAATGTTGAGTCCCTGTCCAATGAAAACACCAAGTTGTGATGAGAGAAACAAAGTGTAGCCAGATTGTAAGCTATAAAAACACCATTTTCGTTTCCTCGTCTGTTTACAATGCCCGGATGTCAGGCTCCTCTGTTTCAATATTGGCGCGGAAGTTTGGTCAAAGCGAGTCTTGACGTTTTTGACGAGAGAACCAGATTGGTCGCGAAACAACTTCTGTTGGACACCTGGCAGGCGATGCTGGCGACCACTGTCGCCTGCCAAGCTAGGTTCGGTATCCAAAGTGGGATAATTCCCCGCCAGGACACCATCAGACTCGCAAAATCGGTCTGGTGGGGCAACTTTGATGGTGTCCCAACTCAGGACTGCGATCTAACTTGGTTTTGAGTATGATTACGACACAGGCTAAGCATGCGTCGAGTCCGCGTCGTCATTCCTAGTTCCTCTCGCTGTCGCTCCCGTTTTCTTTCAATCAATTACCAAATCGAACCTCCTCTCGTCATTCGATTCCGAACCTTGCCGAACCGTAGTTTAAACTGAGCGCAGATCGCATTCAGGCTTATCGCCTAGTATCGTCCAGCGGAGAGAAGAGTCACGACGAAAACCGCCACGTCATTTGAACGCATAGCCAAGTGTAGGCTCGCTGATACAAGTTGTCCTTTCAAGATCGAATATAGGCCTGCGCTGCTAGGCGAGTCGTTTCTCGTTTCTTGGTAACCAGCTAGCAGTAAGCATATACGCGCCTCGCTGCGCTGTTGAACCGTCGAGACGCGTTGCGTTGTTGTAGTTTGAGATGTCCAAACTCAACTTTTTTATCATGCTGCACTGTTGAACGGCCAGGATGGAGCCGAGAAGCCCATGGGGTTGTGTGTTTTGGACAATTGGAACGGTTGAATGTTTTAGAGTATATGACGCTTAGCATAACTCGGGAATCACCAGCTAATCTCGTCTTACCAGATTCTAAGCTTTAGGATCAAGTTCCCCGTTCAGGGTAAAATTCCTAAGTCTCAGGGTCAATCCCTAGGTCTCCGGGTCAAATTTCCAGGTCTCAGTGCCTAAAGGTTTGTATTCCCATTCACTGCCTGATGATTGGTTTTGCAGGGTCAGGTACTCAGAGTCGAATTAGGGTCGGAGTTTTTAAAAGAAATTTCAAGGGCCGGATTGGGCAAGCAGTATGGCGCCACTGCTGCAACGGTTTCGTTACCTATTTGAGAAGGGCGTGATGTATCGAGGAATGCTCATTATGGTGAGGATGGTGGATGGCATGTACTCACTCTCACGCACTTACACGGACTTACACACGTAACCTAAATCGTTTGCGAGAATTCACAAATTCAAAAAGCATTTGTGAGAATACATAAAGCATCTGCTCATGATGCGTGATTGCTATCGTCCTTACAACCCCTCCTCTCATCTTTCCATGCATTGCCCTCACCCCTCTCTCGCACCCTCCCCCCCTCCCTCTCTCCCTCCTCCCTCCTCCCTCACCACCTGTCAAAGCCACTTAGATAAGTACCCAGGAACACGGCTCCCTACTGGGAGCTCACTCACAACCTCCCCCCCTCCCTCCCTCCCTCCCTCTCTCCTCCCTCACCACCTGTCAGAGCCACTTAGATAAGCACCCAGGAACACGGCCTCCGTACTGGGAGATCGCAAAAAGGGTTGCCAAGTTGCTCGTGACCCGTGGGAATTACCTCAGCTTGGTCAAGCCGACTGCGGCTGGAGACGAATCCATGAAGCCGATATTAAAGGGTACAGAGGGCGAGTAGGTGCTCAGCCGATATCTGATACCCCCTGGCTTGCAGTGAGTGTCGTCACCAACAGGGCTCAGGCTATCAGGGTAAATGCTCGTTCTGACTGAGAATCCAAGGTATTTTTTAGCCGAACTCGGATTTTTACAGGGGATATTTTCTGCCAGCCCTGACTGAATCCGAGCAGTTCCAGGACTGACTCTGATTAATCCGAGTAGTCCCTCGAAGGACTCGGAACTTTTTCTAAGGCTCTAACCACCCCCAACCTCGCCCCCTCCTCAACACAGGTAGACTTCTCCCCCGCTTCCTGGACTTGTGAATGCCTCCCTCCCGCCCCTCTGTTCCTTAGTCAAATTCGGAGGCCCTGTACACTACCGCTCTCTGTGAGCAGAGGTCCACGCGAAAGCAGCACAAGTGCACCAACACAGAGTTTCAACATCAGCTTTTGTCAGAAAGAAGTCTCCATTGCCGCGTATTTTCGAATTACTTAAACGAGGAAATTTTAGGCCAGCCCTGATATTTCCGAGCGGTTTTCTGGCTGACCCTGCGTTTTCAGGGCATTTTTTTGAAGGGAGCCAAACCGTCCGAGTTGGCGAAAAGCCTAACTTTAGCCCTGGTCACAAAGGTTGTAATGAGTACAGTCACAGAGGGTGAGTGTGGTCACTTAGGGTGAGTGTGGTCACGGTCAGAGGGCGAGTGGGTGCTCAGCCGAATTCTGATACCTCCTGGCTTGCAGTGAGTATGGGCCTAGTCAGAGATGTTTGGTGCTTTGTTAATGTAAGAAGAATCGATTTTATTTCTGAGCATTCCCAAAAGTAAAATCAACTCAGTCATAGGTGTTTTGTTTTAGTAAAATCTCGCCAACATATATACAGTGCCGTGCCGTGCCGTGCTGTGTCTACCTCCTGGCTTGCAGTGAGAACGGTAGTAGAGGCTGGTTGGTAGGGCATAGGTGTTGTTTGTCAACGTTTGAGTTTTGAGTTGACTTAGAAATCAACCGTTGTCTCGGAGGCATTCTTTTGCTACCTTCTGGCTTGCAGTAAGCATGGGCATAGTCATAGATGTTGTTTTCTTTACTCCCTTTCGCCAACTCGAGACCTGTTGGTTGCTGATGCAAGTGTACTGGAAAGTACGTTGGAGTGTCTGCTTTGCAGGCGAAGCCTTTTTTTTACTTGTTTAAAAAAGCGAAGCCAGGCAGTGCCATGGATTGCTGACATTGTTTGACGCTAGCCAGTCCTATTGATCCTGTTTGTCGCTTTTGCTTGCTTATGGCGCCTTTGCTGTTTTTTCTGTCTCTTTGAAATTCATTCGCTTTCATGTTCCAGTAATTGCACTTTTAGTTGCAGTAAGGTGGATCGGATTTCATGGTGTACCTACCTGGCTTGCTGTAATTGTTCGTGCTTTGAGTCGACTCAAAACACGACTCATTACACCTGGCTTGCTGTAGTTGCTCCTTTGATGCTTTCCTTCCTCCTCAGGTTTCTCAATACATGCCTGCTCCCAACCAACTCTCTCATATCTGTCTCTTCCTTTGCCTCTGTCTCTGCAGTGACATCTCGGTTGCTGACGTTGTGATGATGCTATACGTTCCTCCTGCACCTGTTGATTGATTACTGGGACGCCTCAAAAATCGCCTCCTGTTCTGTCAATCAGTGCTTGCTCCCAACCATCTCTCTCGCCTTTGCCTCTGCCTCTGCCTCTGCCTCTGCCTCTGCCTCTGCCTCTGCCTCTGTCTCTACCTCTGCCTCGGCCTGTGCAGTGACATATCGGTTGGTGACGTTGTGATGATGCTATACGATCCTCCTGCACCTGTTGCCACTAGCTCCAGTTCAGCCAATCCTGAGGTGTCTGCTGATGCAACGGCCAATGGAGCGACAGCCAATGGGGCGACAGCCAATGGGGCAACAACCAATGGGGCGACAGCCAATGGGGCAGAAACCACTCAAATAACAAGAGCAGGGGATGTTTCTCAGTTACTATCTGCCGCTTCTTTCAAGAGAAACATTTCAAAAAAGGCAATGAAAAGGAAAGTAAAGGCTCTGTCAGAAGCCCCCATCAATACTGCCACCAGTGGAGCTGATGCCGTTTCTCCCTCATCCGCTTCCCCGTCCTCTTCCCCATCCTGTTCCCCATCCTCTTCCCCATCCGCTTCCTCATCCGCTTCCCCATCCGCTTCCCCATCCTCTTCCCCAACCGCTTCCCCATCCGCTTCCCCATCCGCTTCCCCATCCGCTTCCCCATCCACTTCCCCATCCTCTTCCCCATCCGCTTCCCCATCCGCTTTTCCATCCGCTTCCCCATCCGCTTTTCCATCCGCTTCCTCATCCGCTTTTCCATCCGCTTCCTCATCCGCTTCCTCATCCGCTTCCTCATCTGCTTTCTTATCCTCCGCTACTGAGTCCGAGCCTTTCCAGTTCGCTTTTCGGCGAGTGGCAGCCGTTGAGGGAGACGAGATGGTGTCATCTCAGCCGTCGGATGAGCCGTTTCGGATAGAGAAGGATCATTTTTGGTTGCTTGCAGATAATCTGGCTGTTCCTGCAAAGGTGATGATTTGAGTAGTTTGCATCAGTGGTTCATAGTGAGGCATGTTGTGAGGCATACAGGCAAGCACCTATGCATTCACCCATGTGCATGCACCCTTTTCTGGTTGCTTGCAGATAATCCGGCTGTTCCTGCACAGGTGATGATTTAAAAAGTCTGCACTTTGTGCTCTATAGTGAGACATCTAGTGAGGCATGCAGTGAGGCATGCAGTGGGGCATGCAGTGGGGCATGCAGTGAGAAATGCGGTGAGGCATACAGGCAAGCACCTATGCATGTACCCATGTGCATACCATGCACATAGCCATGTGCACATGGCACACCACTGGTCCCCTACAGTTTACCTTCACACACCGCCCTCTCCTCTCATACACTTTCTGTCCTCCCCGTGTTCTCAATTCTTCCACGTTTTGTTTCCCCATGATCATCTGGACAAGACAATTGCCCCACTGGTCCCGTGCAGCCCAATACCAAGATAATATCTTGAGCCATTGGTCGGCTGTGTCGAATCTCATTGCTCCATCCCACCTTTTCCCTCCAACCCCTTGGGACCTTCCAGGAAGCTATTGACAGTCGCACTATCGGCCCTGTACACAGGACCTGGATCGCGGCGAGGGCACTGTATGTGGTGCGGACAGCAGGTGATCACGGGCCGATCCAGAACAGGTGAGGTTTCTCTTGTGTGAAGAGACAGTTTATTGTGTACACACACCATGCATTGCGGCGAGGGCACTGTATGTGTTGTGCTCAGCAGATGGGCCCATTCGGAACAGGTGAGGTGGTCAGCAGATGATTACGGGCCCATTCAAAATAGGTGGGGTTTTTTGCATGCGAGATATACTTGTGTTGTGGTCAGATACTGAACCGGACCATGATTGACCGGACCGTATATGTAGCTGTCATAAAAGGTGATGATTTTGTTGGTGGTCGATCGATCATGGTCTGGTTCAGAGAAAAGGGGGGGGGGGGGGGGGGGGGGGCGTGGGAGCTTCATTCTTGAAGCTGGTTGGAACAATGAATACCGAAATGCATTGGAATGCGCTGTTTGGTGCTTTTGGGAGTATCACAATGAGTCAGTATTTCACAGGTGAAGGATAAGAAACGCAGTGGAAACTTAGAGCTGGAACACCCATCATGCTGCTGCGTTTCTTCCGTTCTTTATTTTCTTGATGTTTTTTGACTAAGTTTATGACACACGTATCTTTTTGTTTCCAAAATCCAATCCATTTCCTTTGCCTCTCGCAGTTATCTGGCCAGTTTGCAGGATGAGGCAGTCATGGCCATGGAATGCAATATCACGGATATTTTACGAAGAATACTTATCGAAATCATCAAGTCTTTCAGAATCTGACATTCTTGTTGGGGCCTCCGTTTGACGAAACCCCGTCGCGTCGGCATCACAAACGACGTCGCTTTGCAGTGATGGTACATGGTAGTATCGTCCTGTATGCTCGTGTGTTGTGTTCAGAAACTCGTAGTACTCCTTTCTCTGGACAAGCAATTGGTTTGTAATGTTAACGCCTTGTGGTACGCTGCGCTGCGCCGCATTCCATGTTATGAAATAGCAAATGCCCACGCTCTAAGTCAGCTACAGCCAGTAACGCCCTACAAACAAGCTTGTTCATTTGTTTGATTGCAATTAGGGCGCGTAGGGTATAACGGGGTGGAACCAGGTCGATTCACACATGTAGCGAACTCCCGGAGGATGTAATAACGAGGATCTTTTCCAACTTTCCACAATCCGTCTCGCTCCTTCGCAAATTCTAGAAGCGTCATGGTGGTTTCTCACAACAAACGTGCCGCTAGATACCTCGTAAGGGTTCCTAGGAGACTGGAATGAGTAACGATTTTGGGTCCGTTATGTAACTGGATACTAGCACAATAAAGACTCAGCTCGCTACGCGCTTGTTCAGTCCGCGTCGTCATTCCTCGTTCGTCTTGCTGTCTCTGTTGTCTCGGTTAGTGAACCCCAGACCGAACCTGCTCACGTCATCAGATTCCGAACCGAACCGAGACGAACCGAACCTCATCTGATCGCAGATCGCATAGCGAGACATGCGAACATCGTTCGTCGCCTATGATTTGGCGGAGTGAAGAGTTACGACGAAACTCGTCACGTTGTCTGAGCGCGTAGCCACGTGTAGGCTTATCGCGAGTAGAGATTCCGTCGTTCATTGCGCTGATCTCGGAAGCGGGGTGGCTTGCTGACATGCTTGAGGTGGGAAAGCGAGAACGAGAGCACCAAAAAAGGTCCAGCCTTCAGGATTAGTATGGAGCGGAGCGGTGCGAGCAGGGTCCCAGAATTTCTCTGCTTAGAACACAATTGGTGTCTATTTTGAGAGAGACCGCAGTTTGAATCATTCGCATAGCAATTATATCAAATAAAAACATATGAGTAGTTCATTGCTGGTTTGAGCACAATCGACGAAGTGAGAGCGCAGTTAATCAGACCAAGGTGCTTCTGAGACACAAGTGGGAGGAGCAAACGAGAAGAATTTAATCCAGTCTGTCAAAGAAGCTCAATTTGTCAGAATCTGTCAGTCAGACGAGCGGAATCAAGCTTCTTCTCACGGAGTGAAGCTAACAGACAAGCTGAATCTGTCACAGTCGGTCAGTCAGACGAGCTGGACCGGTTGAAGTCAGTCAGTCAGTCAAACGGAATACGTCAGAGCAAGTCAGACGAGCAGAATTTGTCAAAGTCATTCAGTCAAGCTGAACTCGTCAATTGATTGGAGTAGCTGCGGGAAGCTAACTGCCTGTCACGGAGTACAGCCAGCAGACGAACTTATTCTGTCGAAGTCTGTCAAATCCATTACTCAGACCAGGTAAACCCTGTCACGGAGTGCAGTCAGTCAGACGAGCTGAAGCAATGAGGCTACCATCAGCAACAGCCACTCGTTTTCCGTCTCAGGCAGTCAGTCAGACGAGCTGAAGCAATAAGGCTACCTTCAGCAACAGCCAACCATTTTCCGTCTCAGGCAGTCAGTCAGGCGAGCTGAAGCGGCCAGGTTAGCTGAAGAGAGGGCGAAACAGAGCATGCGCCGCTGCTGGTCAAGGCAGTTTGTGCGAATAAAACCTGCAGTCGCATGATAAGCTAGCAATAGTATCTGCGATAAATAGGATCTTGAGTTTTTAGGCAGCAAAGCGCAGCAGAAGCTAGCAATAGCAGCTGCAATCAATCGATTTCCTGCAGGTGTAAGCAATCCCAGTGCTAGCAGCACAGCACAGCACAGCACAGCACAGCACAGCACGGCACAGCACAGCACGGCACAGCACAGCACGGCACAGCACAGCACCCATCATCATGGCGCCCATGCTAACGAAGCTCAAGTACTACCGGGAGAGGGCTCAAGTGCTTGCCTTCGTCTGCCAGCATGTGAGTCATTCTGGGGATATGCACATGATTTCATGGGTAATCCAGTGCTAGCAGCACGGCACGGCACGGCACCTATCATCATGGCATCCATGCTAACGAAGCTCAAGTACTACCGGGAGAGGGCTCAAGTGCTTGCCTTCGTCTGCCAGCATGTGATTCATTCTGGGGATATGCACATGATTTCATGGGTAATCCAGTGCTAGCAGCACGGCACGGCACGGCACCTATCATCATGGCATCCATGCTCACGAAGCTCAAGTACTACCGGGAGAGGGCTCAAGTTCTCGCCTTTGTCTGCCAGCAAGTGAGTCGCACCCTCATTCGTTTCTGCGAAATTCGGAACAAGTTTCAGCTATGTGCAAGTTATGTGTAGATGTAGAAAAAGGCCCTTTCTGTTCAATATGTGTGCGCTTTTTCTGCTTTCTCACTTTCTCGTACCAGACTTTTTACCAGAAGAACCCAAGAGAGGAGCTACCACTCTATAACTGGATGAGAACTTAGTTGGCTATTGAGGTGACTCAAAAATCTTACTCCCAGTTTCCTCCCTTTCTCGTCTCTTCTGTTTTTCTTGTATCAAGCCTTTTTCCAGAATAACCCAAGAGGCGAGCTGCCACTCTATGACTGGACTGGATGACTTTTGAATCCAGTCTCTAGCTCAGAAGTCTTCCTTTTTTTCCGTTTCTGTTTTTTCTTGTTAGTATTTTTACTCAAGGAATCCACGAGGGGAGCTACCACTCTATAACTGGATGAAATTCATCGCTCTTGGAATGAAGGAAAAGTTCCCACTGATAACGCAGCTTGAGCCGTCAGAGGCTGGAAGCGAGGCCATGAAGCCGACTATAAAGGGGATAAAGGACGAGTGGGTGCTTCATCGGGTTCTGCTGCCTCGTTCCGTGTAAGCATGCACACACACATGTGTAAGCATGCACACATACATGCAGAGATGCACGCATACATCCCTAAATCCGTATAAGCATGCACACATACATCCCCAAGCCCATGTATGCATGGACACATACATGCAATGGCGCCCGTATAAGCGTGCACACATACATGCAATGGTATGTGTTAGCATGCACAGATACATGCAGTGGCCGTGTAAGCATGCACACATACATGCAGTGGCCGTGTAAGCATGCACACATATAATCCCCTGTCAGTCCCCTTGTCTCTCGTGCAATAAGGTACATGTGGTGTGGGGAAAAGCTGCAGCTTCTCTCTCCCCTTTTCTCGCCCGCATGCTATATGTGAGCTTGGAGAGCCCTGCGTCCTCTCTAATGCTGCAGCCCTTCGAATCATGTGTCAGGGTGACATGTGGTGTGGGGAAGCATGCTATATGTGGGGAGCTTGGAGAGCCCTGCAGCTCCCACCCAGTGACCCAGTCAGCCAGGTGCTCACTTTGTAAGCCGCTCACTCTGTTACATCATTTCGAGCTCCTCTCTCAATCTCTTTCTATCCCTCCCTCCCTCTCAATCCCTCTCAATCTCCTGCCTTTCTATGCAGTAAGGCAACCACAGCCACCACCGCTGCTGCATCCCGCGGCCAAGCCAGTCTCCAAGCGGCCACATCCCTCTATTCACACACGCAATTCCTCAACGCCCATGCACCAGCAGAGCTTCCAGCAAGAGGCAGGAGCATCACCATGAGAGCAGATTCTATCTCAGTCCCTCCCTATCCCACTCGAACCCTCCTAACCCCTTTCTCTCGTGCAGTAAGTAAGGTTCATGTGGGGGACGTTCTGTGTGTGAGCCTGGAGGCCCCAACCGCAACCACTGCTGCATCCAGTTTTCTGTTTTGCTTGCTTATGCAGAAGAGTTCATGTGGGGGACGTGCTATGTGTGAGCCTTGAAGCCACAACCACAACCACAGCCACAACCACAACCGCAACCACTGCTGCATCCCGCGGCCAAGTCAGTCCCCAAGCGGCCACAACCCTTTACTCGCATACTGAATCCATCAACGCCCATGCACCTGCAGAGCTTCCAGCAAGTCGCAGCAGCAGCACCACCACCACAGCAGAGCCTTGTGATACCACCGTGACAGCAAGGCCTACAGTCGTGTTTCGGCGAGTCGCAGCCGTTGCTGGAGACGAGATTGCATCATCTCAGCCGTCGGATGCGCCGTTTCAAATAGAGCCGAATCACTTCTGGGTGCTTGCAGACAACCCCGATGTTCCTGCTAAGGTATGCTCAAGGGGGTGATGATTAAGGGTTCTTGGGAAAGTGAGAAATATGTTCAAGGGTGATTGATTGAGCGAGGATAGAGCCGAATCACTTCTGGGTGCTTGCAGACAACCCCGATGTTCCTGCAGAGGTGTGTTCAAGAGGGTGCTTTCTGAAGGGTTATTGGAAAATGTATAGAGAAAGATAGAGAAGGGTAGAGAGGGATCGCTTCTGGGTGCTTGTAGACAACCCCGATGTTCCTGCAGAGGTAGGGTGACTATTTTAGGATACTTGACATATGGATAGGTATGTTCAAGGGAGGTTATTTGAGGGTAATTGAATTGAAAAATGGATAGGTATGCTGAAGGTTGATTGGTTGCTTGCAGATAACCCCGATGTTCCTGCAAAGGTATGTTCGAGGGGTTTATCATTTTAAGGTTTCTTGGAAATGGTGATGAGTATGGCGAGTTAAGGTATACTCAAGGGTGACGATCTTTGAGGCGCCTCAAAAGGAGTTAAGGTATACTCAAGGGTGATAATCAATGAGTTCTTAGGAAACTCAATCAATGGTGATGAGTATGGCGTTTGCGCTGGTATATTCCTGCCAAGGCAATACCTCTTCTTGAGGCGCCTAGGCGGGCGCCTCAACAGCATCATTCGCAAACCTCTTTTGAGAGGTCCAGCGATAAAAGAGTTGCATCTGAGAGTTCTCACAAGCAACTCCAACGTCGCTGGACTTCTCTTTTCGAGGTGCCTCAACAACTTCATTTGCAAACCTGTGATGATATATCGCCGTGCCCACCTGTTCGACTTCTCTGTCCATCCACATTCTATGGGGCACTTACTTAATACCTTCCCCAACCGTCCCTTCCCCAACCGTCCCTTCCCCAACCGTCCCTTCCCCAACCGTCCCTTCCCCAACCGTCCCTTCCCCTGCGCCCCTTCCCATGCGCCCCTTCCCATGCGCCCCTTCCCCTGCGCCCCTTCCCCTGCGCCCCTTCCCCTGCGCCCCTTCCCATGCGCCCCTTCCCATGCGCCCCTTCCCATGCGCCCCTTCCCATGCGCCCCTTCCCCTGCGCCCCTTCCCCTGCGCCCCTTCCCATGCGCCCCTTCCCATGCGCCCCTTCCCATGCGCCCCTTCCCATGCGCCCCTTCCCCTGCGCCCCTTCCCCTGCGCCCCTTCCCCTGCGCCCCTTCCCCTGCGCCCCTTCCCATGCGCCCCTTCCCCTGCGCCCCTTCCCATGCGCCCCTTCCCATGCGCCCCTTCCCATGCGCCCCTTCCCATGCGCCCCTTCCCATGCGCCCCTTCCCCTGCGCCCCTTCCCCTGCGCCCCTTCCCATGCGCCCCTTCCCATGCGCCCCTTCCCATGCGCCCCTTCCCATGCGCCCCTTCCCATGCGCCCCTTCCCCTGCGCCCCTTCCCATGCGCCCCTTCCCATGCGCCCCTTCCCATGCGCCCCTTCCCATGCGCCCCTTCCCATGCGCCCCTTCCCCTGCGCCCCTTCCCCTGCGCCCCTTCCCATGCGCCCCTTCCCATGCGCCCCTTCCCATGCGCCCCTTCCCATGCGCCCCTTCCCATGCGCCCCTTCCCCTGCGCCCCTTCCCCTGCGCCCCTTCCCATGCGCCCCTTCCCATGCGCCCCTTCCCATGCGCCCCTTCCCATGCGCCCCTTCCCATGCGCCCCTTCCCCTGCGCCCCTTCCCCTGCGCCCCTTCCCATGCGCCCCTTCCCATGCGCCCCTTCCCATGCGCCCCTTCCCATGCGCCCCTTCCCATGCGCCCCTTCCCCTGCGCCCCTTCCCCTGCGCCCCTTCCCATGCGCCCCTTCCCATGCGCCCCTTCCCATGCGCCCCTTCCCATGCGCCCCTTCCCATGCGCCCCTTCCCATGCGCCCCTTCCCATGCGCCCCTTCCCATGCGCCCCTTCCCATGCGCCCCTTCCCATGCGCCCCTTCCCCTGCGCCCCTTCCCCTGCGCCCCTTCCCCTGCGCCCCTTCCCATGCGCCCCTTCCCATGCGCCCCTTCCCATGCGCCCCTTCCCCTGCGCCCCTTCCCCTGCGCCCCTTCCCCTGCGCCCCTTCCCCTGCGCCCCTTCCCCAGCCATATCTTCCTATAATGCGGGCAGGAGGTGTGGGGCAGTTGCACGTTTGGCCCAGTGCGAAATGACTTTTGAGTCGACTCAAAAGTCATCAGGAGGCGTGGGACGGGACAGTTGCACGTGTGGTCCAGTGCACCTAGAGGGCGTGCCTTGTGAGTGAGAGTTCCCCGCGAGAATGCTCACGACAATGGCTCCCTATAATCTCTACAATGGCCCCCTATAATCTCTACAATGGCCCCCTATAGTCTCTACAATGGGCCCCTATAACCTCTCTTTTTTTTCCCCCTTGGACGCACACAGGAGGCGTGGGACAGCCGCACAATAGGCCCGGTGCATCTGGAAGACGTGCTGGGGAGGGCGATGTATGTGGTGCGGTCGATGCACGACCATGGGCCCGTCCAAAACAGGTGAGCTGCTGAGTCATGAAGCATATTCAAGGAGGTGGAAAGGGTAAACCCGCGCATCTAAAGGACGTGCTGGGGAGGGCGATGTACGTGTTGTGGTCAGTGCACGACCACAGGCCCATTCGAAACAGTTGAGCTCATTTTCCTCGCTGTGCAAACAGGGACTTGTGTGCAATCAGTGCACAACCACAATAGCATATCTAAACCAGTAGGTAAGTGGTACAGTCACAAGGAATGTAAGAGCCAATATGAAATAATCATTGCAGCTGCACTTGTTTGTGCTCTGTTTCTGGTCAGAAGATTGTACCTGTGGAGCAGGCTCCTAATCCAGCTCATGTCCACCTCTTTGTTTACCCATTGGTTCCCTTCAGCCCACAGGCAATGGAGGAGGATGCTGCTGTGATGGCTGGGGAGGGGGACTTGGAGAGTGTGCTACAGAGAGTGAGAGGAGTGCAGCTGAGGTGACCTTGTGCCATTTAGTGTTGGAGTAATTTTTTAGTGACTCAAGCAGCGATGGCTGGCGAAGGAGACTTGGATAGTGTGCTGCAGGGAGTAAGAGGAGTGCTGCTGCGGTGATGCTTTTGTCATTTTGTGTTGGAGTAATTTTTTAGTGGTCACTTTTGAGATTTCTCAAAACTGACTTCAGCAGTGTTGGCTGAGGATTGGGGTTGAAGGAGCGTGCTGCAGAAGGCGAGAGGAATGCAACTCAGGTAATGACTTTCTGAGGAGCCTGTATTTGTTTTTTCCTTCAGCCCACAGGTGATGGAAGATGACGCAGCAGTGATGGCTGAGGAGAGGGGTTGAGAGAGCGTGTTACAGAGAGTAAGAGGGAGCGCAGCTTCGATGATGCTTGTGTGGTGGAGGGTGAGGAGGTGAGAGGGTGCAAGGGTGAGAGTTTTGCGAGGGTGCAAGGGTGAGAGTTTTGCGAGGGTGCAAGGGTGAGAGGGTGCGAGGGTGCGAGGGTGCGAGGGTGCGAGGGTGAGAGGGTGAGAGGGTGCGAGGGTGCGAGGGTGAGAGGGTGTGAGGGTGAGAGGGTGCGAGGGTGAGAGAAGGTGCAAGGGTGAGAGAGTGTGAGGGTGAGAGGGTGCGAGGGTGAGTGGGTGAGAGGGTAAGAGGGTGCCAGTAACGGCCGCCGATGCCAGGGCAGCCCCCACCATGTTCCATGGGGAGCCGCTTAGCACGGGGGATCTCATGCACGTGCTCGAGCCTCTGCTCGCTACCGTAGACTGCGTTGCGTATCTTGTTTGCCCATTCTATAAGTATGCTGTACCATATAGGTAATGTAATAAAATCGACCATTCGAGAAGGTGCGAGGGTGAGAGGAGTGCATCTTCCGTTTCGTTTGTGTGGTGGAGGCACATTGGGACTTTTTACCTTAACAGATGGTAGGAAATTTTGTCTTCGCTATTGTGCTGATTGGAGGTGGAATTGTTCAGCAGGATGTTCATGCCGTCCTGCTCGAACCAGGTCTGGTACTGCTGCCGAACACTCGCCTTGAAGCTTTTGTTGATAGACACATCGAGCGGCTGCAAGTCTGCCGTGCATCCCGCCGGGATGATCGCCGGCACGATGTTGAGCTCCGCAAATTTTGCCTTGACTTTGGGTGTCAGGTGACCACGATAGGAGTCGAGCACCAGCATGGCGCTCCGGCTCTGCAAGCCGAATTTCGGTTTCAGGAACGGCACCACGCCTGCATCGAGCCACTCGATGACGCCCGAGGCCTCCATCCACCAGTTAGCTTGGCAGCCGACCACGACATCTGCATACAAGCAAGCGGTGGCTTGTTTTTCCCCTCCAAAACACGCGCATACGCAGCTTCTTACTTTTCGGGAAGTCACCCTTTGGGAGGGTCTTGCGCTTGAAAAACACCCACGGCTTCAACTTCTCGCCCGTCGACGTGCACGCCAGCATCACAGTGACTCTCTCTTTCTGGTAACCACCGCTGCGGATGGGCACCGACTTCACGCCCGTCTGCTCCACCGTGGTAGTCGCCGGCATCTCCAGCCACAAAGGCGTCTGGTTGGCATTGATGATGTACCGATTGTCGATGTCGTACTCATGGCGTGTGTCGCGGACAAACTGCCAAAATTCCTTGCACTGTTTCGCCACATCTGCGCACGGGGAGGGAGGGACGGTTAAAAGGGCGGATGAGTACCGCTACATATAAACATACATGGGCAAATGAAAGTACATAGATACAAGATAAATACTCACGATAGGATGACAGGGTGTCAAACTATATATGGTATATAATTAGGTGTAGGCTGTAGTAGGGTAGCCAATGTAGGGTACAACCCCTTAGGGTTCTCATCCTTGTACCCAACTCACTCGATAGTCAAACATTCCTAGCTACCTTCTCTAACATGGTATTAAGAGCATGTAGGGTCTTAGGACCTTAGGACATATTTTTTTTTTTCGGGCCCACCACCTACCACCTGCCCGTATCGCGCTACCCCGCGCTCTGCCCTGCCCTAGTCCCGCACGCGCCCCGCTAGCAGCCCGCACGGCCCGCGCATTGCCTCTGCTGGCCCGCGCGCCGCCCGCCAGTAGCCCGCGCGACTCGCCCGCTGTCCGCGCAGCCCGCGCACAGCCCCTGCTAGCCCGCGCGCCCACCCCCTGTGTCTTCCTTGGTTTTGTCCTTGACGCGACTGGCTGGCAGTTTTACCACCCCACCTCGCGCCGTGTCTTCCCCTCTTAGGACGTCATCTTTGACAAGTCAGCTCCTTTCTACCGTCTCTTCCCCTACCGAACTGCCCCTCTCCCTCCCCCGCCGCTTTTCTTCGCTCCAGGTCCCCCTCCGGTAGACCCTCTACCCCCTCAGGGTCCTGCTCCTTCAGGTGTGTCTCAGGTAGACCCGCCTCCCTTGGCTGAGCCTGTAGAGGTCACTAGCGTCGCAGGTGCTGCTGCGGGAGGTGCTGCTGGGGGTACTGCGTCTAGGGGTGTTGAGCCTGCGCGTGAGGTGCTGGGGAGCGCGGAGCCTGGGGGTGTTGAGCCTGCGGGTGCGGAGCCTGGGGGTGCTGAGCCCTCCGTGAGGTGCTGGGGTGTGCGGAGCCTGGGAGTGCTGAGCCGGAGGGTCCCGGGTCGGGGGGTGCTGAGTCTGCTGGCGTTCCTCTGGGTCTCGTTTCCCGACGCGGACCTATCCCACCACAGCAGGCACGAGAGTGGCTTGCGTTGCATACCCGCCTGAGGAGTCGTGCTGCTGGAGCTGCTTGTCGTGGAGGCGCTGGGAGTGCTGGTGTCTCTGGTCCTGGAGGTGCTCGTATTGGTGGTACTGGAGCTGCCGGGACTAGTACTGCTCCTGGAGCTGAAGGTGTCGGCTCTGGGGGTGCTGCTGCTGGAGGTACTGGGAGTGGAGGCCCTGGAGCTGGTGCTGTCGACCCTGGCGTTGGAGACCCTGGGGCAGGAGGTGCCGGTTCTCGGGGTGCTGCTACTGGAGGCCCTGGAGCTGGTACTGTCGACCCTGGAGTCGGGGACCCTGGGGCTGGAGGTGCCGGTTCTGGGGGTGCTACTACTGGTGGCGCTGGAGCTGGACGTGCTTCTAGTGGAGGTGCTGGAGCTGGAGGTTTTGGAGCTGCTGGAGGCGTTGGAGCTGGAGGTGCTGCTGCTGGAGGCGCTAGAGCTGGAGGTGCTGTTGCTGGAGTCACTGGAGCTGGAGGTGCTGCTGCTGGAGGCGCAGGAGCTGGATGTTCCGGAGCTGCTGGAGGCGCTGGAGCTGCAGGAGGCACTGGAGCTGCTGGTACTGGTGGCACTGAACCGCCGCGACTGTTCTTCGCTCCTCCGTCAGTGTCGTCTCTGCCACCGCCTGATTCCGTGCTTCACCAGGTTCTTAGCCTTCCATCTTCTACTGGTCTCCCAGTACAGCCCGGCGCACCACTGACTACTCCTTCTCCTTACACTGAGCAGACAGACTCGCTTATAGAGCGTCGTGAGCCTGTGTCTCATCCTGCCTCGCCTGTTCGCGCGCGTCACACTGGTCGTCGTGTTCCTCGTGAGCGTCTGCCTCCTGTCCCTGGCACGCACGCTATGGCACTTCGTCCTTCCTCTGTTCTACAGCGTGTTCCCCTGCCGTCTCCTCCTGCGTCTTCTCTGCCTGACGTTCAGGACCCTGAGTCTGGCCTGGTTCGTGCTACTCACCCTACTTTCACGCGTCTGCTAGCCACTGTTGTCAGTGACCCGTCGTTTGAGTCTGCTGCTGCGTCTGCCTTAGTCTCTGAGCTTGTTGACTTTGCTGTTGCATGTCGTCTAGACTTCGCTGCTAGTCTTGTTGCTGAGTCCGGGTCTGTCTGTCCTCCGTTCGTCGAGGGTGAGTGTGCTCTTGGCACAGACGTCCTTGAGGATAGGCAGGAGGAATTTGAGTGTCTTTCAACCGCTGGCCTCATCTCGTGGCCATGCTGCTTGCCCCTGAGGGAGACCCGGATGCTCCAGACATCGCGACCCCACGCTCTTACACCGAGGCGATCGCGGGTGAGTACTCCTCTCAGTGGCAGTCAGCCATGGACGCAGAGATGGCATCTTGGAAGTCCACAGGCACTTACGTCGACGCAGTTCCCCCTCCTGGGGCGAACGTAGTCGATGGCATGTGGATTTTCAGGGTGAAGCGGCCGCCGGGTTCTCCGCCTGTCTTTAAGGCTCGTTACGTTGCACGAGGCTTCAGTCAGCGCCAGGTAGTTGACTTCTTCCAGACCTTCTCCCCCACCCCAAAGATGACCACTCTTTGGGTGCTGCTGCACGTTGCCGCTTAGCGTGACTACGAGCTCCACTCTCTGGACTTCAGCACAACGTTCTTACAGGGCAGTCTGCACAAGGAGATCTGGCTGCGCCGCCCACCTGGCTTCACTGGGTCGTTCCCTCCTGGAACCCAGTGGAGCCTCCGCCGGCCGGTCTACGGTCTCCGTTAGGCGCCTCGCGAGTGGCACGACACACTGAGGACGACACTTGCGGCTCTTGGGTTTGCACTTTCCACTGCTGACCCGTCGCTGTTTCTGTGCACCGACACTTCACTG